TGGAGCCCTGGGAAATACGGACCAGATGTTCCCAAAATTTAAATGGCAACGTCAAAGGGGGTTTTTGCAAACATCAACACCAGCGCCCTTTTTAGAACAGGAGTTGGGCCCGGGAGGTTTTTAAACCACTCAATTTCCTAAACTTTTTTTCCAAAAGGGGAAAACTATAAAAAGGAAGCAGAGGTGATGGTGGAATCATAGTCTCCCCAAAATTGCGTTTTAGCTTAAAGGATGACAGGGGCGAGCGATCGCACGCTTCTTTTAAAAATCAAGAAGTCTATCACGGTTCTTTGTACCGGTACCTGCCCCATGGGAGCACCTTCAAAATTTCCCGCACGAGCACAAGCGGGGGGAACCCCCAAGGGCCCACTTCTGAGAATGCCCGCCTGAGGTTTGGGGTTTTAGAATAGAAGCTGCGGTTTTAAAACTGACGTCGAGAAGATGTGTAGGTTCTCCCTCAATGGGGATGAAGAAAGGGAAAAACACAAAAAACCCGTGGGTTGAGTAAAAAATCCCAATTTTGGCCCCGACAAACTGCCCCGCGAGGGCTACGGAAAGGTGGTGAATTGGAAGGAGAAGTTTAAAAATGATCGGAAAATGATCGCTATCATGTAAGTCGGTGAAAAGACCAGGTTTAAATCTAGTGCAGTGGGGAAGAGGGAATGAAGATCGAAAGCAAGAGAGAGTATGATTAAAAGGACAAAATGGGGGGAAATAAACCCTATTAAAAAAAATGGAGGGGGTGAAAAGGGCCCAAAAAAAGCCTCCAACTGAATTTCCACTGAAATTTACAATGGACCCCCCCCCGAAAATGGGGGGCTTTTAAAAACACCAAGTAACAGAAATGGTGGGGGTAAGGAAGAAACCCAAAAACCCTTCCCTTTTGGGGGAGAAAATGCTCGAGAAAGGGGAAGATATAAGAACCTATTGAAACCCCTTATTCAATGGAATAGGGTGCAGGGAATGCAGCGTGTAAAGGACAAATATTGACAGTACGGAAAATCATTGCGTAGAAAAGGCCACTTTCATTAAAGGGCCCATCTGGGGAAAGGATCCGAAGAAAAAAATAAAAAAAAGGGTGAGGGTAGGTTGGAAAACAGCCGGTTTAATTTTGGGTTTTTGTAAGCAAGCACCAACAGGGGAAAACCGGAAAAACAACATTGAGCTCACCCCCCCATTACCCCTGAAAGGGCCCCCCGGATATTCCCTGTAAAAGGCCATGATTGGCGTTTAAAAAAATATCAGGAAACTGTAGGGAAAGGGACCTACGGAAATAGAGGGGTTAGAAAAGTCAACGTGGGTGGCTTTAAAAATTTTTAAATAGCGAAAGGGAAAGGAAACGTTGCGAAAATGGGGGTTGTGAAGATGGAGGGAGGGAAGAAAAAGGAACAGGAAGTGAAACAAAAGGGCCCTTGAAGGTTTAGTTCTCTGCAAAATTTTTTGAAATGGCTTCAAATGTTTTTGAATTTTAAAGATGTATGGGGGACCATATTGGAGATAGGAGGAGGAGGATGAGTAAAAAATTGGGGCAGTAATTTACCCGTAAACCCAAAATAGAGGGGGGGGGAAAAAATGTAAAGGGGTGGGGATGAAGTGTGGGGGGGGACAGAAGAGGGAAAAACCTGGGGGGGGACGGGGGGGGGAAGGCCCCCGTCCCAGGAGGAGGGTGAATCTCCAAAACTTGTTTAAAAGGGGCCAGAGAGAAAGGGAAAACTAGGTACCCGAAGGCTGGAAATAAAGGTGGAGGGGGAAAAAAAGGGGAAGGGGGCAAAAAAAAATTTGAGCAATGTGGGTTTTTTTGGGGTTTTGAGTAAGGGGCGGATTGGTATTAAATTTCGTACGAGGGCTTGTCCCATACTGGGGGTTGTAGGAAGGCCCCGAAGGGTGTGGGGAACAGACGAGTTTTAGTCGGGACGGGCAAAAGCCAAGGACAGCAAAGGATTAGATCGGGAGTGGCTATGGGGGGGTTTAAAAAAAGAGGGGGTGCAAAGATGGGGGCCCCAGAAGTGGGGGGGGGGTTTGGGAACACGGGGTTTGGGGGGGGGGGGGGAGGCCCCTTTAAGGGGAGGATGAGTAACTGAAAAAGGGAAAAAGGAAAAATTTGCCTATTGAGAAAAGGATTTAAGTTATTTTTTTTGAAATGGAAAGGGGGGGTTTTAAAAGGGGGATTATTAATTTTTTGGAAGAGGGGTTTTTGAAGATTTTTTTTTTGGGTTGGGGGGAAAAATGTATTGGAATAGGGGTTTAAATTTATGGGTTTTAAAAGGAATTTTTTAAAAATTGGGGTTTGGGGGAGGGGGGTTATTTAATTTTAAGGGGGTTTGGAATTAGGGAAGGGGATTTTGGGTTGTAAAAGGTTTAAAGAAAAAAAATTTTTAAGGGGGGGGAAAGGGGGTTGCCCGGGGAAAAAAGGGAGGGAAGGAATAAGGTGGGGACTTTTTGGGGGTTTGGGGGATTGGAAAATTCCAGCGTTTAAAAATTTTTTAATTGAAATGATGGGAAATTTAAAAAAGGGGACATGGTTTTGGGGCACGGGAATGACAGGGGACCCTCAAGAAGGGGAAAGAAAAATTTTTTCCCAAATGAAAGGGGGTTGGAAAACTATTCGAAAGGGGGGGAAAAAGAATTTCAAAAAAGAAAACCTTGGGTGAAAAACTGGGAAGTTGACGTTGGCGTTTTTGGTTTGGGGGGAAGCGGGAAATGGGGAAATTACTTGGGGAAAGGGCCGGGCGTTTGGGCAATAAATTGGGGCAGAAAGGTAGGAGGGGGAAGGGGAAAATAGGGCAAAGGAAAGGGGTTTAGCCCAAGGGTGGTCCCAAACCCGAAACGGGGGGGAAAAAAGGGAAAAGGCTTTGGGTCGGGTTTCCCGGAAGAAGGGGAAAACACGGAGGGTTTTCCCGGGGAATTTGGGGGGGCGGGTTTAAAAAGGGCCCGGGGTTGGTTGGGATGGGAAAAAGGGGGGCTTGAAAATTTCCGTTTTGTTTTGAAAAAAAGAAAGCCAAAAAAAAATAAAAACAAAAAAAAAAAAAAAAAGGGGGGCAGGAAAGCCCCGGGGAAAGGGGGGGAAACCCCCCACCCCAAAAGGTACAGGGGTTAAAGGAGTGCCGGGAAAGTTGGCCATACCCAACCCCGGGGAGAAAAAGGGTCCCGGGGGGCAAGAAGGGGCCGGGGGGGGTGGTTTCCAAAGGGGAAAGGGGGGTGGGGGTTGGACAACCTTTCCCCCTTTTTTTTAAAAAAAAAAAGGGGAAAAATCCCCCCCCCAAAAACAAACCCAAATAAAAAAGGGGGGACGGGGGGAATTTCCCAAGGAATGAAACGGAAAACTCCCCACCCCCAAGGGGAAACCCAACGGAATGGGATGGGAACCCCCTGCCTTTCCCCCCACCCTTTCTGCCCTGTAAAAAACCAAGGGGAAAAAGGGGAAGGGGAAAAATTTGGGGGGAAGGGGGGGACCCAAAAAAGGGGGGGAGGGGGGGATAAAGGGGGGGGGAAAGGGGGTTTGGTTCGCCAAGGACCGGGAATTCCCGAAAGGTCTTCCCCCGAAGGGGCCCCCGGGTTTTCCCCCAAGGAACCAAAAACCCCAAAAGGGTATCCGGGATCCGGGGAAAAGGGGATCCGGGGGTCCCTAGGAATCCCCCAATTTAGGAAACCCCCCAGGGCCCAAAGAAACCTCAACGGAATGGGATCGACCCCGGTGTCCTTTCCCCTACCTAGGAACTAGCGCGCCTGTGGAAGAAATCACGAAGGCTAAAAAGAGGAAGGGCAAAAGGGAGGGGTGAGGAGGAGGAGGAGGAATGGAAAAAAGGGGAGGATGGGGAGGATGGGATAGGGGAGGGGAGAATGGGGGGTAATTAGGTTCGGTCTGAGGAAGAAGACCGACAGGGCTAATTCCTCAGACCAAGAGCCTCTTCACCACGCCAAGGAGCCCCCCTTGAAGAGGTTATTATAATCAAAAGGAAGCGCTAAACCACAAGAGCTATACAGCGACCTTCCTTGAAGGGTCACCAGCATCAACGAACCTCCCTTGAGGAGTCACCAGCATCAAGGAACCTCCCTTGAGGGGATCCTGGGGAACAAGATTGAAAGACCCCGATGGAAATAAGACTGGCAGTCCTCAATGAGGCACTGACTTTCTGGGTTATCCTGGCAAACCCTACAGGGTTAAAAATCCCAACAAAATCTTATCTTAAACTAAAAAAAAGGTTAAATTAAAAAAAAAATGTATATTCAACCTGGATCAAGCTTGATAAAGCTCCTGGAGAGCGAAACGTTGCCACAATATGACACATTAGTTGAATCTGTCTCTTACCTAACATTTTTTTCGGCAATTCTACCATTATTACTAATAGAAAGAAAAGCTAAACCCGATTGTATCCACATAACGCTTGGGGAGTGGGGGACAATCAGGTTTGATCCAAGAAAGGGGGGCAACAAGCCCAATTTCTTGGATCAAAAGCCCTGCATCACCATCAAGGGAATTATTATTATAATTATAATAATCACGGGGGAGCGCTAAACCCGTAGGATTATGCAGCGCATATGGGGGGGAATGGAAGGTATTCAAGCTCAATTTAGGGAACCGAATCAGAGTAATTTCCCTACATTAAGAGCCCCTCACCAGCGTCAAGGAACCTCCCTTGAGAGGGTCTATCAAGGGTGAACCTCCCTTGAGGGGTCCATCAAGGGTGAACCTCCCTTGAGGGGTCCATCAAGGGTGAACCTCCCTTGAGGGGTCCATCAAGGGGGAACCTCCCTTGAGGGGTCCATCAAGGGGGAACCTCCCTTGAGAGGTCCATCAAGGGGGAACCTCCCTTGAGAGGTCCATCAAGGGGGAACCTCCCTTGAGAGGGTACAATCTAGAACACTGGCCCTCATCACGCTCTCTGAATTACTCAGATCATTCGTCCACACATTCCAGGAAGCTAATGCTAATGTCCCATGAATCATGGCTTTCAATGAGCCTTAAAACAATAAAAAAAAAAAGGGACATTTTTACTCACAATTTAGCCAGTGAGGGAGAGGGTGTTGTTGTTGGGGTTGTTAAGAGCCACCACAAATTACGCCTTCACACCAGCTTCCCGGGAGGCCCAGAAAACTATGTTGTCCAGGTCCGGGCGGGAATTATAAATCAAATGAAATCAAGTTGATTCTCTATAAGGGTTATAATGTGGGGTTTACAGGATTTGGATATTGTGCGGTTTACATGTTATAAAATACTAATTACAGAGGGGGCCACTAGGACACCTAGCATGGCTAGGCATTTCGGGCATTATTATTATTATTATAATCAAGGGGGAAGCGCTAAACCCGGAGGATTATACAGCGCCTGGGGCGGGGAATGTGGAAGGCAATCGGGCTTAATTGGGGAAACTGGAGCACAACCCAAATTTCCCTAAATCAAGAGCCCTTCACCAACATCAAGGAACCTTCCTTAGGGGGCTTTTGGGGCAGACTTAGATTAATTTTTAAACAAAAAATCCCTACAGATTAGGGTTTAAAGGCAGGTGACTACATTAAATTTTGTTTTTAGCAATGTAAGCTAAGATGAAATAAAATGTTCGCAGGGGGGTCGGGTTGACCCCCCAGCCTAGATCCAAACAAAGCCAGACACCTACACCGATCAACTTTAGGTTTTCTCTATGCCAAAACAATTGGAATAACTGAGTAATTGAGTGAGTAACGATAACTGGTGAGAAATCGAGTAATTGAGCGAGTGATGAGTACTTGACAAACAGACAGGGGAAGTTAAGGCGAGTAATTGAGAAATTTAATTAACCCCCTTTTTAGGTACATTTTGTTAAAATAAAAAAAACAACTTAAACCCCTCAGGTAAATACAGCACTGTTATTTAGGTACAGGTACACATATGCATTATTATTAAATTTAAAGGGGAGCGATAAACCCAGGATTGTGAGCTCCTGGGGGGGGATAAGGGTATTCGGCTTAATTCGGGGAACTGGCACAGACCCAATTCCCTAATCAAGACCCCTCACCAAATTTAAAAGGGAACCTTCCTGAAAGGGATAACCCCAAAAAAAAGTTAACAAAGTGATTTTTCCCAATGGAATTCTTTAACCGGGTGATCAATGGCCCCTGACCAACGGCCAGCAGCGGTCAGTGTTAATTTAGTTTCATATTATTATTATTATAATCAAAAAGAAGCGCTAAGCCACAAGGACTATACAGCATTTAGTTTCATAGCCTTTGATAACTAAGCAAGTTACAGTGGTATGAACTCTATATATTTATACCTGACTGCAATCGTAATGAGTTATTTATGTAGACATGAATTAGCTCACACAGGAAAAAAGTTTAAGTGGTAATGCGTTATTTAGCATGCATAACGCATTACTACTTAAAACTTTTTTAGCATGAAGGGTTCTTTTCCAAAGAAGTGGAGCAAACCCCCCTTCCTTGGATCAACCCTGAAAGCCCCCCCCCCCCCCCCCCGCTTCCTACACGGGACCAGAGCTTCCTGGAATATAAAAGAAGGAAATCAACAATACGATTTTTTTTGTCATTTTATTTTTTTATCAAAATGAGACATTGTGTTGGCGAACCTAAGATTGATTTTTTTACAAGGCTACACGGGGTAACACGTTTGCCAAAAACACATATCATACAAGATTCGTGCTACACCCATGGAACCTAAGTAAGGGGAAGGAAATGGTCAGTCAAATTGGGAAGTCGATTGTAGCCAGGATAACAAGCATTTCCCCTATAGGTTCAGTAGCTGCTGTATTTTTACAACTTTCCTTTCCCGCAGGGCGTAATTTCTTGCTCAAGGGGTTTCCATTTTTTTCATGGCCTTTACACCCACTGGGAAATACAGAACCTTTACGGGGGATTTTTCCGTATTGTTTTTGTTCCTATTAGGGATGGGGCGATACCCAAAATTTTGGGGCCCTACCGAACTCAATTTTCCAAAAACCAATTCCGATATTTTTCCTCATTTTTTTTTTTTAAAATTTTAATATTAGTTTAATACTAAGGGAATACTTATTGACAATGTATGTCCCTTATTATTAATTTTTTTTTTTATTACAATAAAAATTAAAACCCAAACCCACATGGGCCATACAGAAAATATATCAAATAACACAAAAACCAAAAAAAATTTAAAAAACTTAATTTCTCTGAGATTTATTTGTCATTAGGGGCCTTTTGGGTAGATATTCCCCCCAAGGAAGTTCCTTGATGTTGGGGGGCTCTTGATTTTTGGGGAAATTGGGTCTTGCTCCAGTTCCCCGAATTTAAACCTGAATGCCCTTTCCCATTCCCCCCCCCCCCAGGCGCTGTATTCCCTCCGGTTTTTTTTTGCGCTTCCCCCCTTATTTAAAAAATAAAATAATGTGCTAGTTATTGATTATCAAAGGCAAATTGTCGATATGTATGTGTCTTTGTACTCTTATGTGGTGTGTTACTCAATAATTGTGGTTGCAGGGGCGAGACCCCATCTCCCGGGCCCCGCCCTTCACGACCTACAGGGCCCCCTCTCCCCTGGCGCTATGGGTAACTGCTCCACCATCCTTGCTAGGCAAATTTCCCCTTTCCGACGACTCGTGACTGAAGAAATACTTCCTACATCCCTTGACTCGTTTGAATCTCTACTTTCCCAATTGTGATCTCTTGTTTTTTGTGTCCCCCTCTGGAACATCCTGTCTCTGTCCACCTTTTCTATTCCACGCAGTATCTTTAAAGTCGTTATCATGTCTCCCCTACCCTTCTGTCCTCCACTGTCGTCATTCGATTTCCTTTAAAACCTTTTATCGTAGACATTCCCCCGAGCTCTGGAACTACCCTTGTTGCAAATCTTTTATTTTCTCTAATATCTTGACGTGCTTTAAAACCCGGGTTTTGGGGTTCCAACTGGGGCGCATACTCCAAATGGGCCCGACTACCAGGTACAGTGTCTTGAACGATTCCTTATCAAGGATCGGAACGCATTCTCAGGGTTTTCCAGGGGCCCATAGTCGCACAGTTACTGGTTACGTTGTCTCCGGCGTGCTCGGGGCGTGTGTTCCACCTAAAAGAAATTGCAGGGGGCGATAAAATCACCCTGCCCCCCTGGGGCCTTGGGGTGTGGTGTGGGTGTGTGTGTTTTGTGTGTGTGTGTGTGTGTGTGTGTGTGTGTGTGTGTGTGTGTGTGTGTGTTAGTTAGTTACCATTTTGTCCTAGGCACATGTCGATTAGACACTAGGCCTGTTGTGTATGTGTGTATGTGTGTGTGTATGTGTATGTGTGTGTGTATGTGTGTATATGTGTGTGTGTATGTGTGTGTATATGTTGTGTGTATGTGTGTGTATATGTGTGTGTATATGTGTGTGTGTATGTGTGTGTGTATATGTGTGTGTATATGTGTGTATATGTGTGTGTGTGTATATGTGTGTGTGTAATGTGTGTGTGTATATGTATGTGTGTATATGTGTGTATATGTATGTGTGTATGTATATGTGTGTATGTATATGTGTGTATGTATGTTGTATGTATATGTGTGTGTGTGTGTGTGTGTGTGTACTCACCTAGTTGTACTCACCTAGTTGAGGTTGCGGGGGTCGAGTCCGAGCTCCTGGCCCCGCCTCTCACTGATCGCTACTAGGTCACTCTCCCTGAGCCGTGAGCTTTATCATACCTCTGCTTAAGCTATGTATGGATCCTGCCTCCACTACATCGCTTCCCAAACTATTCCACTTACTGACTACTCTGTGGCTGAAGAAATACTTCCTAACATCCCTGTGATTCATCTGTGTCTTTAGCTTCCAACTGTGTCCCCTTGTTACTGTGTCCAATCTCTGGAACATCCTGTCTTTGTCCACCTTGTCAATTCCTCTCAGTATTTTGTATGTTGTTATCATGTCCCCCCTATCTCTCCTGTCCTCCAGTGTCGTCAGGTTGATTTCCCTTAACCTCTCCTCGTAGGACATACCTCTTAGCTCTGGGACTAGTCTTGTTGCCAAACCTTTGCACTTTCTCTAGTTTCTTTACGTGCTTGGCTAGGTGTGGGTTCCAAACTGGTGCCGCATACTCCAATATGGGCCTAACGTATACGGTGTACAGGGTCCTGAACGATTCCTTATTAAGATGTCGGAATGCTGTTCTGAGGTTTGCTAGGCGCCCATATGCTGCAGCAGTTATTTGTTGATGTGCGCTTCAGGAGATGTGCCTGGTGTTATACTCCACCCCAAGATCTTTTTCCTTGAGTGAGGTTTGTAGTCTCTGACCCCCTAGACTGTACTCCGTCTGTGTGTGTGCGCGCGCGCGCACGTGTGCGTGTGTGTGTGTGTGTGTGTGTGTGTGTGTGTGTGTGTGTACTCACCTAGTTGAGGTTGCGGGGGTCGAGTCCGAGCTCCTGGCCCCGCCTCTTCACTGATCGCTACTAGGTCACTCTCCCTGAGCCGTGAGCTTTATCATACCTCTGCTTAAAGCTATGTATGGATCCTGCCTCCACTACATCGCTTCCCAAACTATTCCAATTACTGACTACTCTGTGGCTGAAGAAATACTTCCTAACATCCCTGTGATTCATCTGTGTCTTCAGCTTCCAACTGTGTCCCCTTGTTACTGTGTCCAATCTCTGGAACATCCTGTCTTTGTCCACCTTGTCAATTCCTCTCAGTATTTTGTATGTCGTTATCATGTCCCCCCTATCTCTCCTGTCCTCCAGTGTCGTCAGGTTGATTTCCCTTAACCTCTCCTCGTAGGACATACCAGTGTGTGTGTGTGTGTGTGTGTGTGTGTGTGTGTACTCACCTATTTGTACTCACCTATTTGTGGTTGCAGGGGTCGAGTCTTAGCTCCTGGCCCCGCCTCTTCACCGGTTGCTACTGGGCCCTCTTTCTCCCCGCTCCATGAGCTTTATCAAACCTCGTCTTAAAACTGTGTATGGTTCCTGCCTCCACTACGTCATTTTCTAGGCTATTCCACTCCCTTACAACTCTATGACTGAAGAAATACTTCCTACTATCTCTCTGACTCATTTGTGTCTTCAACTTCCAATTGTGGCCTCTTGTTTCTGTGTCCCCTCCCTGGAACATCCTGTCTTTGTCCACTCTTGTCTATTCCATGCAGTATTTTATATGTCGTTATCATGTCTCCCCTGACCCTCCTGTCCTCCAGTGT